ACTGTTTGCAATCTGTGACTAATTTTAATAGCAGACTAATGAAGTTCTTGTGTCACAGACTGTCACTTTCGGTCCTCACAGGTTGGCTGTAGGTCCCTGATACCGCTTTATTAATTATTATTAATAACCATAATCTAATAATTTATGACAATCTTTTGAGATTTATAAATTATCCCTAACAACCAACCTGCTCCTGTCAGTGCACAACAATGCACAATAAATGGTAAGGTAATGATAATTGGAACACCTGAAGAAGCTACAGTTGTTACAATAAGTGAACTGAAAGACTTAGATCAATGCAGATGAGGAACTATAAATATTCAGCCTATTTGCACCTCTACGGAATGCTGTTGTGGGAGTTGTCTATGGCTGTGAACTTTTTCCAACATGGGGAAGAAATATAAAAATTCAGCGACGCTGTTATGGAATATCTCGAGAGACGATGGCGACGATGAGGGTTACGGAACTTATGGACATGAGTCTGAACTGTGTGAAGGAGCATTTGTATGGCCACCTCACAACTGAATAACAGATCTTGACAAGGACTATTTGTTCCCATTCAGGGACATTGATGAGGAGGATCTTAACGCTGGCAAACACTGTGTGGAAAACATTTGTATAAAATAGGTAGAAGTTATGAGACTTTGAATTTCAGTATATGTGACCACACAGATTATAAAATGCAAGAGTTTGAAAATGATATATCGATCCAGAGAAGAACTTTTATTACAATATTAATACAATTTGTAAGAACTACACTGATTTTCAATTTAGCAGTAATGTGAAAATGACAGGTGCTTTATTAATAATACACTTCAATAACAGAAGTCTCCACAGGAACCTCTATGAAATTAAGGAATCCTTGTGTAAATGCAATAAGTTCAATGTAAATGCAGTATCTGATACTTGGCTTGATAATGAGAAAGTTAATGACATGGGACTGGAAGGATATGAGTTGTTTGCAATGAACAGGATTGACAAAAAAGAGGGAGGACTTGCCCTGTATGTAGGCACAGATTTAAAGATGTAGTGTAGTTGAAAGTATGTCATACACGATAGAAAACTTGTGTTTAACTATAGGGATTGATCTTGATCGATCAAAAAAATATAATCATCTGCTGTGTTTACAGAACACCAGGAACCTGCCTTGACACACTGAATGAAAAATGAGCTGGTATGCTTGAAAAAGTGAAATTGCTTGAAATAGTTTGTTGTGGTTTCAATAACGATCTATTAAACCCAAATGGTCACAAAAGGACAAGAGACTTTATAAATACAATGTGCAGTAACAGCCTAATCCCTGTAATCACTAAACCAAGTAGAATAACACCTGATACCACAGTTTACCACATTGGTAGATAACGGTATATAACATATTGATAAATCAAATTGAAAGCAAAATAGTAGCAGGTGGACTACTTATAAATGATATAGATGATTAGTGTTCCTTCCAGTTTTTACAATTTTTCAAAATTTCTTTAAGACAAAAAACGAAAAAAGATATAACGTCTGTAAATTGAGTCAATACAGAACATCAGAAGCCATTGATGCCCTCAAGATGAACCTAAGGAAACAAAATTGGAATGAAGTTTACACACACATGATGATCGTAGCAGCATCATAGCAAATGAGATTGTAGAGCCGATAAATAAGGAGGGTGTGGGAGAAGAGGACAATGCGCTGCAAGAGTGGGCCTCTTTCAAGTATCCTGTTGATTGGAGCATTCCTTGAATATCATATCACACATCATACTGTGTGTCTGTTAAACAGGTGACAGAACCTTTGGAACTTCCTCTCAGAACTTTTCATAATAAAAGCTCCCAACTGTTTGAACTAAAGAATCGCAGGAAAAAACTAACTTTCTTGTGTTGACAAAATCGCTGAAGAGGAAGTGATTCTGTGGGTAACTGTGGAGGCCATGATGGAAATCTATTGTAGAACCAGGCCTAACGCCTGATGTGACTGTCTGTGTCTGTCACTCACTCTCAACATGGATAAAAGTATAATGAGCATCTTAAGGTGGGGGTAGATTTGTTTTTTCGACATGAGCTATAGCTGAACGTGAGACTGTCAGTTCAAGATTGTAAGATAAAAAAAAAATCTGATTATCAAAATAATGTAGCGGGCCAGATTTTATTGCTGGCGGGCCAGTATTGTCCTGGGGGCCACCAGTTGCCGACAACTGGATTAGGGGGAAATTACAAATTAGCATACAACGTGAAGACAGGTGAGTGTAAAATTTTATGTGCACAAAAAGCCTCTATTCACGCCTATGGCTGAATCGCAGGCGTGGGGACACAGGCACCCTCTTGTGGCAACAGGAATGTCATGTTTTACACTTTAATTTACTCCTTCTAGAGGGTTAACCACACCCACCTCAAACTTGGTCAGGTAATGCTTAAGACCTTGCTGGTCCTTTATTGTGAAAGCTGTGAGTTTTTGTCGAACGGCCTGCCAGTGGCGGTGTGGCAAATTTTGATGTTTCACCATGAAAATTCAACTCACTATAACTCCAGCATGCATTGTCCAAACTGCCTCAAACTTTATATGTTAGATAAGAATCCCAGCCTGAACAAACGTACATGCCTATATTTAGTAATAGTCAAAGAGCCACCTAATGTGAGTTTTCATTTAAGATCGTGGCTTTGGTGGCGTGTTGAATTTTGAAACAGGAAATGGCTTTAATTTGATTATATATTATTATTATATTATCATTATTATTATCATTATTGTTCTGCTGGAATAATTGATTTTGGAGGGCCTTAACATACTCGAAAACTACCAAAGGCCCAACCCACCTTTGAAGAAGCCCCCAAGGCAGATATGTATGTTTACATATGACTTGCTGTTTTGTATTTTTTCTGTCTCATACCTATCTTTTTTCAATTTTACTTGTGCAGTGTTTTGTGATGATGACCCGGATGGAGGCCACAAGCCGAAACACATCAGTCTAAAAAAGTTTTGTTTTCTATAAGTGTTGCTGGAGTTTTTATCTCTTCGGACTGCTCTGCATGCAAGACAGGAGCCTCTGTTCTTCTTCATGGTTCTACGAATCTAGAGACTTTTTGTCTTTGGTCCACTAGCAAACATTTTGCACCATTTAAGTCAGTTTAACAAGGAACTATCAGACACAGAACAACCCACCAGCCAATCAAATCTCTGCATTTAAAACTTCTCAAAAAACTTTCACTTCTCTCCACAGCCAAACTTTAGCCTCTGAGGATGACTGGATAACCTGAGCATGAGGAGAGCTGTGACGGGCCTGTTGATGCTATTGTGGTCTTTGTAATGACATCACACACAACTGACTGAGTCACATGATCAATTTCAGGACCTGAACTAAGTGACACTCAGTGATCAGATGACTTCAAACAGTCAGTGCAGCTGTCACAGTGGATCAATGAAATCAACAAGAAGACGTTCATACACACGGACGTTTATGCTGTTTATCTTAACAATCACAATAACAAACAGTCTTTTTGAGTATGGATGTATATTGAAAAGTTGCTTTTTCAGACTCTAAGGCTTGTTTACTCAGTTGTTTACTCACTTTTGAGCAGATCAGATCAGATTTTTGTTTACTCATTTTTGATCAGATATTCCCAATTTAAACTTGGGCTGTGTTTTATTTAGGCAACATTCTTTATTAACACGTCCTCCAAACTCAACAACCATACACATCGTTTTTTTCTGATACAACCCATAGGTGTGTCTTCTGAAGTAGCACCCCTATGTCGGAGTACCAGACCTCGATCATTATGGTTACAATAATAAACACACAGACTGTACTGACAGCAGCGGACCTACCTTTGTCACCATGGTTACTATAACAGTCATGGCTTGGTTAGGTTTAGTCACTCAAGCTACTTGGTTAAATTTAGGAAAAGTTTGTGATTTGTGTTAAAATAAATACTTACTCAACATTACATGGTCTTTGTTGTCATGGTTACAACATAAACAGCTAGTTTTACATGGGACTCGAACACCACTCTCCTGTGTCATAGTCCTGTGTTTCATGAGCCAACCATCCACCACAACCTCCTCCTGTTGTGGACTTTGTCTCTCTTTATACTACATCACCACACTTCACCCTTTGCTCCTGTTATAATTACTAGCAACTAGCAACAAAACTTAACTATGGGTCATAATAAGCTGCTGCACAGACGACCTATGGGCTATTACCAACTGTCCCCATCTGAAAACTGTAGAGAATAGAATAGCTCTGAGGTGGAAAATTAATCATTTGTCATTATTTGTTGTATTAATGAACTGTTTGGTGGATAAACAGCTGAAAGTGCCTGAAACAAGTTCTCTAAGTCTTCAACAGTGTGACCAACAGTCCAACATGTTTGCCTACACAATCCCTAAACAATTAATCAACTATCAACACTTCTGTCAATGGCCTAATCAATTAATCTAAGTTTTTCCCCATTAATTATCCCTGACTCCAGAGCCTCACAGCCATGATTGAGGATGCTGAGGTCATGTCTTCAGTATGAACTCTGAGCATTTTATTTTGTTTTCAGCAACCTGAGGGGAGTTTACATTTTAGATATTTTACAGACTGCGATATTTTACAGACTGTGTCCACCTTTTTAAAATGCAATATATTTAAATTTGACTACAGTGAATAAAAAAAATTCTAGACCAGAATTTAATTAATTCCCTGGCACTGAAGACAGGTTTTGGGAAATAAAACTGACTGACTGAAAAGTTAAGTACAGTTTAGTTTTGGTGTCTGATAGAAATTTGCATTACTCCTGTAAAGGTTTTGATTTTTCCCATTTAATGACCATGACTATGGCCTAATAATATGTTTTCAAATTCACCCCTACAGCTGTCTGAAATCAGTTGTATAACATTTAGGCCTAGATGTTTTACATAATCAATAAAAACGTTGTCATTGATTATTTGATTTGAACATGTGACATTAGTCCCCGCCCTAAAGCGCCATGTGTTGGTGTCACTCCAGTTTCAGTGAGCCGTGTCACCTCTCTTACCTCCGAACAGATTAGGAGAGAGGTGAGCTGGTAATGATCCTATCAGCAGCCGGGGACCTTCGTGCCCTCTGCCCGAGCGCTCCCTGTTCGTCGCCTCCTCGGGGCTGCTGCCACCGGACTCCGGTGAGCTGTAGGCTCCGCTGCTGTTTGGAATGTTGATGCCGGACTGGGGTCTGGTCCCACCAGAGCCCCCGGAGCCCCCCACAGACCTGGCCCTGGCACCAAGGTGCTGGCTCGTGGTGGACGTGGCTCCGGAGGCTCCGGACGCGCTGTACGCATGGTACCTCACGCCCCCGGCGTTAGTCCTGCTAACATTACTGCCGTTGCTGCTGGACGTGCTGGAGGGCAGGTCCGAGCCGGAGTAGGCTCTTGTCCGACCATTGGCAGCTGGATTAGCAGTTGGGCTGCTCTGCTTTGCCCCCATGTTAACCTCCACTGATTCGGCTTTGAAATATTAAAGAGGCGCTCTGTGAGCCACTGCGTGACAGCGCACCAGATTTACGCCTGAGGCAGATGGCTTTACAGGACAGACGTCCGGGAAGAACAGAAAAGCAAAACAAACTCCGCGCCGCTATGATTCCATCCAGAGAAGCAGAATGCCAGTTAGTTAAAAGTTGAGGCTGACATCTGTGACAACAGCTAAATACGTGTGTAAAACTTTATTCGCCGTCACCATTGTATTCCGTCATAAATAGTTGTGGTCGTGCTGCAGGTAACGTGGTTCGTTCCTCGTCTGAGTCGCCGCTGTGGACCCGCTGAGCTCCGGCCGCTGGTCTCTCCTCAGTGTCCGCTCCGCCATGGCTCCCGAGCAGCACGAAGGAGCAAAGAGCCGGGCTCCTCACACCTCCCTGCCTGCTGACACATTGCTTAGAAGGAGGAAGTGATGGAGTAGAAAGTCCTGCATTAAACCGTTTCATCAGCTGCCACAAGGAGACTCGATGCGTAGGCTTCCTATCAAGCTAGCTGAATTCACGAGTATTTCCGCTCAGAAGTTTCAAAATAAAGCCATTGCGGGTTTTTAAAAAAAATATTGGCAGTTTCAAGTGTTTTCAAAGCCACTATAATGCTCAGTTTTTTTTTTTACTTTTTGTTATAGAGCTTCTTTGTACTTTGGTACCAAAGTACTTCAAGCTAGGTTATGTAAATGTGAGCATGCTAACACTCATACTTTCACAATGCTAACATTTCAATGACAAAGATAATGTGTCATTAAGTAGTACAAGTAATTACCATGGTACTGTTCGCATGGTAACATATGCTAACTACCACTAAACACAGTACAATATATACAATAAGTTTCAGTCTGGATTAGACCAGAAAACTGTGGTTAATGCTTAAACTTGTTGGTGAACTCCATGGCAGACAAACTATGCAACAGCAACACTGTTTCTCAATGAGATCAGACATACACTTACCAAGCATTTTATTAGGAACATGAGGACACCTGCTTATTCACCCAATCACTTGGCAGCATAAACTCCTGCAGAGGCTTCAGTTAATATTCACATCAAACATCAGAAATAATGGTCTGAATGCCACTGAACCATGCCACTTACCATCCCCTAATGGCTATTTCCAGCATGATAATGCACCATGACACAATGCACCATGACACAAAGCTAAAGTCATCTCAACCACCCCCCCACCCCACCCCAGTCTCCAAACCTGAATCCAGTTGAACACCTTTGAGATGTGGTAGAACAGGAGATTGTACATTGGGTACAAAATGCAGAAACACATATGGTCTTCAAGGAAAAACATGATAATAGTTAGTGAAAAATTAGATTTCTGGTTTTCTTGTTGTTGTATAGGCAGGTCTGAGAAGATGCCATACATCTTACTATATGGTATCATGTATGTATGGCACCTACAGATCTCTACCACTACATTCAGTGATAGAATAGTTTAACCTTGTACTGAGCTGCCTTTTTCAAACATTTGCTCTCATGCAGCCATATCAGGAAAGATATCAGACCCTTCAGGACACTTGGACACTAGCAATGGATCATATTCTACACCATTAATCTAGTGTGCTAGATTTTTAGATGAAGAGGTGATTATAAAGATTTCTGATGCACCGAAGGAAGTTTAAAAACATGCTTCACCTAAAAAAACATCTTCAGAAGAGGTAGATGACCTGCATGGCTGTTGGCCAGCAAATCAAGGTCAAGCGGCCTAAACAGCTGACGTCAGTATTTACAGTATGTTTGCCAAGTTACTGTACACAAGATTAATCTCAACCACCTCTATGTTTTACAGCTGGATAAAATCTGTTGTGTGTCTGTTGTGAAAGAACAGTCTCTAATTTGGGTCAAGTCATGTCAATGTGTGTTTTATGTATAAAAATAAAAATAAAAAAAATCCCACAACGTTTATTCTACGCAGACTAATCTTTAATATCATATTGAGCTCTTATTTTGAAATCCAACGGAAGTAATTCTGGTCTGATGGTGTACATATGAGGAGCTTTGATGAGTTTTGAACTACCATGTCAGGTGATGTCAGCAGCAGCGCATCAACGTCAACAACAAGAGTCCTAGGCTACATGTATTTCTTCCTCGTGATCTCCTCATTCATATGTGTATTAGTAATAAACAACATGCAAAATTCAAGTTGCGTTTTATTGGCAGTGTTATATCAATTCATATATAATCAATTCAATCATTTCCATTGCCTTAAATGCCTGCAGGACTTATTTGGCAGTTGTTGGCTGTAGATGTTATGGTAGCCTATTTGAAGACTCAGTCCTGTCAGGTTCTGTTCATGCATCTGATTCAAGAAAGAATTTGAGATGAGTGACTGGAAATTTAGGGCTTCAAATTTTTCATTATGAATTTGTGAGGATAAAAAAAGTTGAAAGATTTTGAAAGTTTACATGAGCTTGAGCCCAACCACCAGCTCATGTAAACTCTGGCTCAAGCTGAGATTTTATAATATCATATTATCATATTAGCATATTTTTTGTTTTAAGATTTATTTATTTATTTATTTTTAATTACATTGACAGGATATCATATTAATATGTTATAATTATTATAATTATTATTTTAATTGTTTTATTTTTATTATTTTCTCCCTACGATTATATTTATATTACATCATTAATGTCTACTATACTTTACTTTTCACCCTCTCACAAAAGACAGATACATAACACAGATACATATGACTACATCACACATAAAACTCAGAAAATACACACACACGCGCACACACACACACACACACACACACACACACACACACACACACACACACACACACACACACATCCCATACACATCATATCCTTTTCATTTGTACAACTCCATAACTGTTGTCATTTACATGACTGTCCAATGTACCCTTCGTGTCACATGTTTTTGTTATGTAAAGTCTCTAATAAAGAACAGGAAAACAACAAAAAGAAAAGAAAATTTACATGTGGGATTCAAACTACTTAGATTTAGACAGATGGGTCTAAAAGTAAAATATTTCAAATTCAACATTAAGTTCTTTGTAGTGGTGAACTTTTACAGTTGTGTATTCAATTTCTCAACTCAATTTCTAAAAAACAAATTCTCATGGCCTTTCCATGCTTCCATGCATGGTTTTCTAACTAATAGGATTATTTTATATTTGTGTTACAAAGGTACAAAGGGTTCTATAATGTAAAGATTGTCCTGCCAAAACCCTACCCTCCTGCCAAAGCTCCTGCACAAACATTTATTTTGATTTCTGCAAAGGGAAATGAAAATCTGACAGAGAGTGAAGTTTTGGCACAACACCCAGACAATTAAAATGGTTCAAAGATGCAAAGCAGCAGAGAGGGGTGACATGCTCCATATACACTCCACTTAATTCAGAAAAGGACATGACTCAGTCTGCAGCAGGTTGTGTTTACAGTAAACACCACCAGACAGCAGGTCCCCTATTGCAAAGTACTTTTCACTCCCACTGAGACAATACAGTTCACCTCTAACAGCACATTCTGCCTGGATACAGTATTTGTGACGGATGTGATTGGTCTGTGGCATCATAGACAGAAAAAAAACAGATGTCAAGGACACAAATTGTCATTGGCTCTTTGATTTGTGGTTAACCACAAAGAGGTTAACACTTTTGTCTGTGGTAAGTCAGTCTGCAGGCAACTTCAGTGACAGCCCCCTGAGGGTTTCTGAAGGCAGAATGACTTTCTGTCAACAGCAACGTTCACATTGTGTGGACAGCAGAGCTTACAGCACCGGTGTGTAAAATGAGTGGTTTTCTCACCCTCACCCGTGTTAATCCCTCTAATCTCCCCTGTCTGGAAATAGCTTGGGTTATCTGCTGATTGATGGCCACAGCGTCCATCACCACCTGCATAATGAAGGGGAGGACAGGGCAGCTCAGCAGCCACACTGCAAAACCACAATTACATTAAGCTTTAATGGCCTGTGTTTGTTGGGATGAGCTGTGTGGCAGCATTATTTAAGTGTTGGTGGTTTTGGATGGCAACAATCCTTTTGTGCATTTCAGGGATGTATTCAGGCTTCTGAAACCGAATTTAGACAAGGGGGCTCAGGAGGTAGAGCGGGTCGTCCCCCGATCGAAAAGTCAGTGGTTTGATTCCTGGCTCCTCCAGTCTGCATATCAAACAAGATATACTGAAACCCATATTGCCCTACATCACTTCTAGGTTTGGATCCTACCTCAAACACAGGACATTTTCAGTGGTTATAGACCAGTTCTCCTCCTCCTCTGCCCCTGTCACCAGTGGGGTTCCCCAGGGTTCCATCCTCAGGCCAGTCCTATTCAAGCATATGCTTCCCCTTGGAAACATCATCAGGAAACATAACATCTCCTGCCATTTCTATGCTGATGATACACAGCTTTACCTCCCGCTAAAATCTACAGACTCCCTTCAGCCTCTCCTGGAGTGTTTCAAGGACATCAAGGCCTGGATGGCAAAGAACTTCCTTCAGTTAAACAGTAACAAAACTGAAGTATATTTGGCCCCTCTAAATCCAGAACCCACCTGGCCAGTAAGCTTGACCATCTCATCCCAAATGTGAAGCCTCACAAAACGGATTCTGTCCTTCAATGACCTGGAAAATGTAATCCACGCCAACTGCACTATTGCAATTCTCTGTATTTAGGCCTTCCTCAAACTTCACTATCTGGGGTACAGTTGGTCCAGAATGCAGCTGCTAGGATTCTGACTGGTACTAAAAAACGTAAGCACATCACCCCAGTCTTAGCCACCCATCATTGGCTTCCTGTTCATTTCAGAATTCAGTTTAAGACCCTGCTGATGACCTTTAAGGTTCTCAATGGTCAGGCCCCACCTTACATCTCAGATCTCATCCACTGGCACTCAGCGCCAAAATCTCTCAGATCTCAAAGTTCATTCCTTTTACATGTCCCACGAGCTTGCCTAAAACTGAAAGGTGACAGAGCTTTCGCAGTTGCAGCTCCAAAACTATGGAACCTCCTGCAGCCTGATATCAGATGTGCTCCTCCCTTCTCCATTTTTTAAATCCAGGTTAAAGACATATTTTTATTCACTGGCCTTTTAGCTCACTAACCTCCTCGTCCAGTGTCATGTTCAAACTGAGTATTTACTTCTTGTTGTCTACTTGTTTGGGTTATTATAATTGTCTCTTATGTACTGTATACATTTGTTGTACTGTATCCATTTGTTTTACCGGCTACCTTGTTTATTTTAACTGCCCTTTGAACGGCACTTTGGTCAGCTCAAGCTGTGTTTAAATGTGCTCTAGAAATACAGTGACTTGACTTGAAGTTGATTATATGTAACATTGGCGTGTGAGTGTGTACGTACACTAGAAAAACACTATGTGTGTGAATGGGTGAATGTGGCTTGTTGTGTAAAGAACTATATAAGCGCAGTCCAAACAGTGTACTGAAATCCAGGATTCTAATAATGGTATTTACATCAAACTTAATGAATATGTAATTAGACAGATCTAATTATTTAATCAGATGTAATAAAACTCCATCATTACCACCCCTAGAATTGTTTTCACCTAGTGAGTCTGTGTATTTGTCATCATGGCAAAACAAGGTCCTGGATATGGTCCCTGGATAATTGCTCATTATAAGAGAATACAAAAAGTTATTTGTGGAATTATTTTGTTAGTCATATTTACCTCTTCTGTTCATCATAAGCAATAAAAAAAAGAACAAAAGAAAAAAAGAAGAATTGTGCCTATTTTGACTAAAGGTAGGTCCAATGTTCCATGCAACAAAACATAATACTATAATATTGTAAAACAAAGCATATTTTCAGAATACTGTCTTTATTGAGGAAAAAAGCAAAACTTAATCAGTGAAATTTTGCAGCGCAAACTACCACAGAGGTAGTTTTGAGTACTTTGTGGCATCTGAGTTTATGTCTGTCTGTCTGTCTGTCTGTCTGTGGACAGATTTTGTCACTGTGATAACATCACAATCTGCAAGATATAGTCACAAAACTTTACAGGTGTGTAACTGAGATCAAACTGGCTTACTTCCGAGATGTGTGTGGTATGATGACTACTCATGTAATAATTAACTATGGGCCGGCGTCACAACTGGGGCTACTTTCACAAAGATATTTCAGACTGGTCTGTAGTGTTGGTCCAGTCTTAATTTTGCACATAGATCAGTCTAATTCAAGTAAGACTGTTTCACAAAAAACAAAGACAGAGTCATTTTAAGACACCTTGCCCCCAGGCTGACTCAGGCCTAAGACCAATGAGACTACACTCATGATATGCTCGCTGGTTCTTCACAAGTGCCTCCAGTTCATCACACTTGTTAGCCAGGGAGTTGACATTTCCCATGAGGATCAATGGTAGAAAAGGCTTATATCTCCATCTCCTAGCCTTTAGCTTAGCCCCGGCTCTGCATCCACTAGAAAACAAGAGAAAACAAACAACTTATATTGGGAATTGTTTTTTCTCACACTTTTACCTGTTCTGTTCATCTTGAGCAAAAAAGTAGATAAACTGTATCTATTATTATTTTTATTTTTTATTAAAGCAATGCATATTTTCAGGATACTATGCTTATTGAGACAAAAAGTGAATCTGTTAATGATGATCTATGTTGCAGATGCAACAGGGTTGGGGTCAGTTGCAACATCTGAATTCTTCCATTCAAATAAATATTGTGAATGATATGTTATTTGTAATCATCTTTAGATGGCATGGCTAATTAGCAGAGAGATGTAAGTTTAACATCTAAAAGTTTGGTTGGTCTAGAACAAATAATCTCCTCCTCCATAATATTTTTGTGGTTATGTTATGTGTTACTTAAGTTGCTGAATTGTGATTAATGTACTGTATGCCTGTAAAGTAAATATTTCAACATCATTGATATTATTAACATTTTTTATTCGATTGAATTGGAATTTTATTTTATTGAAAAACTGCTCCCAAATACTGAACATGTACGACTTTATAATGCACCTAAAGTGATCCCATCCTCTCTTTGACTAAATGAGCTGTACTGTTTCAAAGTGAAGTCCTTTTCCAGTGCCTCACCTGATCAGCCACAGATTACACCTTCACTGTGAGGAGAAATTCAGGTTACGTGATGGATGGTCCGTCCTGCCTGAGGCACAGCACATCATAACATCATTCAGGCATCATGAATCTCATGACTGTGTCTCTGCTTTGGTTCATCTCAACAGAGCCAAGTCACAGTTTCAAAATGTATTTACCTCTGTGTCTGTTCCCAGTGTAGCACAGCGTAACAATCAGGAACAGGAAAGATGAATTACCTGACAGAGCCACCAGGTAAAAGAACAACACTGCTGACCCCTGGTGGCCAGTGGAAGAAAGTACAGTGTACAATAAATACATGAATTTACTCTCAGCCGTGATTGAAAATGATCTGTGACTAACTAAGCTGAATAGAGGGTAAATCAGAAATTAAAAATCCTGTTACGGAGAATTACAAGATATGACACAAAATCAAAATCCAGAATACACTCCAAATTGGAGATAAAATTTAATACCCAGCAAAACCTGGTCTGAATCCTAACACTCTTTAAATCAGAACCTCCAAATCAAAATTTAAAATGTACAATAAAACAACAATAAAAGTCGTGTGCTGGCAAACATTGGAGAGGAGGTAAGTCAGAAATCTAAAACCCTGCTCAAGGGAATTGTACAGTGACAAAAACTAAATCTTGACTACACTGCAAATTGGAAAAACAATTGTAAAACCAGTAGAATCCGATCAGGACCTTAACTCTCTTTAAAACTGAACCTCCTAATCCAAGATTATTAATAATACAAGAAGACAGTAAAACCTCGACTCCACTCCAAATTGGAAATAGATTTTAAACCAGGCTTAAACCGGTTTCAAACCCCACATCACATCCATGCATGTGTGCAGCTTCTATTGGTCACACTGTACACTCTCACACCCTCTGTCCCCCTTAGACAAGACAGTAACTGACTGACACTGACACACTGGCTGTTTGTTGTGGCTGTTTACCTCCTCCACTGATCTCAAATTCAAATTCAAAATAGCTTTATTAGCATGAACAAAAACATGTTATTGCCAAAGCAGTTTACAAATGATATATACACATAAAATACAGTAATAATTAAATGTGTTGAATATTGATACAGATTTAGATTTTAAAAATATAATATTTATATCCATTTATATTATATCCATTTATATCCAATCATCTAAAATCATACTGATGTGTGTTAATGGGGATGTTATTGTGAGGCCCTCAGGCTGTGGCAGGCAGAGACATATTTAGCTGCAGAGGAGCTGCTGCTCCTTCAGGAGAACTGACACTTTCTCCTCTGGGGTTCATATTTGGAAGTTTTGAATTTTTTTCTCTGTGTCTCTCTCTCTCTCTCTGCTATTCTGTCTCTGAGGGTCCCTACTAGGACATTGGTTGCTATGGCAGCTGCCAATGGGATTTAGGCAGCTATGTCTTCACATCTACACTACAGATAAACACTGAGGTGAAAGCATCCTCACTTTACTTTCAGTCTCTAAACCTGTAAATCGGTATTATAACTCATCACATGAGACTGAGAGATGACGCCACAGATGATTTTCTCCCTCAGTAGTTTTCCTGCAGGGATTCCAGTGATACTCTAAAGCAAATGTCTATGAAAATGTCAGATCCTTGACTGAACTGATGGACAGTTGTGTGTCAGCTGAGAAATCTGCTACTCTACTCTGCTGCCTGGACTCCTTCCTCTTCAGCTGGCCCTCCTTCAGCTCTGGAAACACCCAGGTTATAACAATCCAGCTCTATGGTCTCCTGTGGAACTGGCTTCTGCCCCCTGGTGGCCTGGAGAGACATAGCAGCACACAGATGTGAGTTAGTGCATCACTCCTCTATTCAGTTCAATATTCACAAGCTGAGTGCTTCATGTCAGACAGTCCTCTGGTCAACAAACGTGTGTACGGTACCTTAAGGATGAAATAGATGACAGCGATCACCAACAGCAGACTCAGTGGCAGGACGACCAGTCTGATGATAGGACCTGTTGGATCTGATGACACACATTCAGTCATCACATTAGATCACATGACATCATTTTAACATGTGGCTGTTTGAGTCAGTTCTTAGAGAATAAGGTCGTCTGATTCGCTCTGTTCACTCATGAGACAGACAGACAGAGAGACATGTCTCAGAGGTTCGGCCTCAGCCCTGGATTCATTGCCAAGATTAAGGCTGCTCGATGTCTGGTATTCTCTATGCACTTCCTATTGAGCCAATGTTGCACAATATTCATTTTTGTATTGATGGTCTGTTTTTATCTGATTGTGATACACGTTTTAGTTTATCTGCATATGCAGATGATATTATTGTTATAGTAAAAAACCAGGATGACGTCACAAAGTTAGGAAATATTGTTGAAACATTTGGAAAAATCTCAGCTGCAAGAGTGAATTGGGCAAAGAGTGAGGCCTTAGCAGTAGGGAGTTGGTCTGCAGGTCTTCCTCAGCTGTCAGGAGGGTTGAGCTGGAGGAGGGGAGGCCTGAAGTATCTGGGGGTTTATCTAGGAGACAATCAGACTGGCAATAAGAACTGTGAGGGAGTGGTGGAGAAGGTGGAGGGGAGGTTGGCCAAGTGGAGGTGGCTGTTACCTCACCTGGAGAGCAGAGTAGCAGCTTTTAGACTACAGTTTATCCAACGTTACCTCACATGCAATGATGACGTGGTATGGAAACCAGTCATGAGCATCATTTTAAGGGGAGTGGCAGGTCTGGATTTAGATGCATCTTTGTTTTTAATGAATTGTAGTTTTATACGTCTGTGTGATCTGAATCTGTTTTATCAGGGACTTTTTAGAGCATGGACTCTCTTTAAATAGAACAGACTAAAACCTGCAGCTTCACTGTACTGGCTCCTGGAGGAGCCTCTAATCCACGGGGCCCGACTGGATGTTCAGGACAACAGTAGACCTGGTCTCACCCAGCGTTTGTGTTCAGCTGGGACAGTGAAGTTGAGACGCATAGTGGACGCTGCAGGTCCAGGACTCAACAACACGGAGGCAGTAGCTTCTCTATTGGGCCTGAAGTCACATGGTCACACCAGAGACATTTTGAACACATGGACTAAAAGACTGAGTAGTGAAGAAATGGAAATGCTACAGGACTATTGTTCTGGAACAGAAGCTCCTGATGAAAGGGATCCTTTCCCTGAACTGGGTCTTAAAATAGACCACACTGGACTGACAGGACCATTGTTGGTTTATAAAAATGCTGCATCTGCAGACCTCTACATGTTGAACGGGAAAGCTCTGTATAAATATTGTGTTCAAACTTTGAACAAGAGAAAGTTGAGTGGGAGAACAGACAATGTGTGGAGAATGAGATTAAAGGTGCAGGATCACTGTAAACCTGTGTGGAGGCTGTTTTATAAACCGCCTTTAAACAAGAGGTCAGGTGATCTGCAGTGGAGAATTCTGCAGGGAGCGCTGGCTGTCAACAGCTTGGTTTCTAAGATAAATCCCACAGTGTCCTTTAAATGTCCTTTCTGTCAGGAACCAGAAACTATTTTTTACTGTTTCCTGGAATGTAAAAGACTTGAAGTTCTGTTTGAAACTCTGAAAAGTGTCTTTTTAAATTGAGAGTTAGTGTGAAACTGCTTTTATTTTTGGTGCTGGCTCCAAAAAAGAAAATGCAAAGAAGTGGCAGCTGTTGAACTTTGTAGTGGGACAGGCCAAACTGTCCATTTATAAAAGCAGGAAGAGTGGAGTAGAAAGTGTTTCAGGTGGGGAGCTGCTGTCAGTGTTTAAGTCGGTGGTGAAAGCCAGAATCAGAGTAGAGTTCAGATTTTATTCACTCATGAATAATGTTGATGGGTTTCTGTCTCAGTGGTGTTTCACTGCAGCTCTCTGTTCTGTTGTTGAGGGGCAGCTGATTTTTAACTCTGTGTTTCTATGAGATTTTCAAAATCTTTTTGTTGTCTTGTTTAATCTGATAATTATGTTTCTGTTGATATTGTCCTATTTATTGGAAAATAAATGTGATTTAAAAATCAAAAAAAAATATCTCTCTCTCTTTCTCTCTCTCTCTCTCTCTGTCTGTCTGTCTGTCTCTCTGTCTCTCTCTCTCTCTCTGTCTCTGTCTCTCACACCAGTCATGGTTGTTAGCATCTCTTTGTGGTCATCTTGTGGCTCTATGACTAATTACTCCAAATAAGAAACCTGAACAGTCACTTCACACAGACACACAGGTCCACGGGCCCCTGAACCTTTCGGGCCCCTGGGTCCGTCCCCAGTCTGTCCATTAGGTAATCCAACATGAGAAGAAAATTTTATCTTTAAATCGGACACTTGTAATTCTGTCTCAGCTCCCATAAGTCCTGGTGCTGGACCTGGTGTCTGACGACCTTTTAATGTTTTCCACCTGAGCTTGACTCTGTGCTTCAACTCACCTGAGACAGTGAGGGACAGCCGACGGCTCTCAGAGGAGAAGTTATGAGAAAAAACGTAGATGTGATAAACACAGCTGTAGCTTCCTTGGTGAGCGGGCTGTGCAGCAGGAAACAGGAAATGGGCGGAGTGATTGACAGCCGGCTGGTTGTAGTTGTGCGTTGTGCCGGGGGAGGTGAAGGTGAGCTGGAAGAAGCCTCCTGGGTACTGTGGCTGGATGGAGCAGCTGATGCTGAAATTGGAGCCAATGAATACACTTAAATTTCCCTGCTGCTGGGCCTCGGAGACCCTGTCCATGGAGGAGGACACAGAGATGATTGGCTGAACCAGCAGGTCTGTAAACAGAGAGATGATTGGCTGAACCAGCAGGTCTGTAAACAGAGAGATGATTGGCTGAACCAGCAGGTCTGTAAACAGAGAGATGATTGGCTGAACCAGCAGAGGTCCTGTGCTACGCAAGCAGTCTGTGTTAACTGAAACCCCCCCCCCCCACCCCCCCCCCCCCCCCCCCCCCCCCTAGAACATCGTCCTGATAACCTGTAACTATGCAAGCTGCTTATCAACGGGCTCAGTTAAAACTCTGGGTTTACCATGTCCAGCTACGAGTTGCATTCATTTTCAAAGATTCGTCTGAACCATGAATGAAGTTCTTTATAATAATGAGAAGAAACGCTGATGTCTACTGGTAAGTTCGGTTATAGCAACGTCTAAAAGTGATGTTCAACAATGGAGAAATGTGAACATATGATCACATGACTGGAATAAAAAACTATTTATTTCCATGTCTAAATATAATTTCTATCAAGTCAGATTAAAGATGTATTGTAAATAAAGTGCATGAAATTATCATTATGTCTGAGTATTTTCTCTCTTTCAGTCTGATGGATGAACAAACTGTTATGAACAATGTGATGCAGATAAAACAGTTAAAGTTCATGTCAGACGGTTTCTGCTGCAGAGAGGAGAGAAAGAGAAGTAGTTGATGTCTGATGAGTCGGAAGACGCTGAATCTTTTACTAATCATGGAAATAATTAAGTGTGTGGGTTAATTGTTCACGAGACATCAGAGGTGTTTAGTTTTTATTTCCAGTTGTGGTCACGGAGTGTCCTCATGTTGTTTCTGAGCTGCAGTGATGAAGAAGAGAGTAAAAGCTTCATCAGTGTCAGGAATCCAATATCTCTTTCAATTAAAATGAAGTTATAATAGTTTATTATAAAGGCTATTTATTTAGGCGTGATAAACTCTTTTTTTAGAAGCTTTGTTTTAAAACCAGAGTGACCACATGGAAAACCCAAACAGGAAAACTGTTCCTCAGACTTTTTATATCTTATATATCTACTGCTTGTTTATTATTGATCACTTTATTGTTAACTCTTTTGTCCCTGTCAGGATCCTGTAGGAATGATGACTTGGTTTTTCCAGTGATTTGATTGTCAGTAGTTTGGCTGTTGAACAGTTTTGATCTGATCCTCTGAAGTTAACCTGCCATGGAGCAGGTGAGGAGATCAGCGCAAGTTACCATGGTGATTTTACCCCGGTAACAAGTGAACCACTGTTGTAGGACTGAAAACCCAGAGTGACAGAAAGACATGAAGCCATTAATTACAGCGTATAGAGTCTTTATAAACGGAGCCTCATCACAAAGTGGTGCTGATTCTTCATCACAAACCAAAATTAAGTGTAAGGAACTGAGCTCAGTCAAACATTGGCCCACCAAAACACAAGAGTCGGCCTCTTGCCACAAACCCTGTTTTCCTCCTGGTGTGCTGCAGTTAGCTGCTGTTGTGGAAAACTGTCTGAGAGGTTCACCATGAGGGGAGTGGACACAGAGCTGGTGAAGAACGACCACAAACCTGTCTGCCACATTTCCAGGACGAGATGAACTACTGCTGGGGATAAACTCTCCCTGTGGGAGTCGTGAGTGGCACCAAACTGCTTTTATCTTCGACTGTAGTTATTATTGGTAAAGGGGGTGTGAGTGAGGGCTGTGGGAGCTGCTGGGTTTGTGAGTGACCCACAGCAGGTTGCTTAACGGTGCAGATTGTAACATTTGAAGCAGCGGTGGAGACTACTGACTGTCACTGAGGAATACTGGAAATATTAGTCACTGATGGACTTACCTGAACAGGTGATTTCCAGGATGGCGGAAGGGGAAGCTGATGATGAACAATCCCTCAGGGTAAATCCAGAATGAACACAGTCAGTGTTGATCTTCCATACAGAGCTGTATGAGGACTCCATTCTTCTCCTTGTTGAAACAGCAGAGCCACAGTCCAGCTCTCTACAGGCTACAGCTGCTTCCTTCAGGGTCCAGCCATCGTCATCCACTGGTCTCCACTCTCCTCGGTTCACCTGCAGTGTACCTGCACAGCGACTGGCTCCTCCCACCAATCTGACAGGCTCTGAACACAAAGAGAGTCATCAGTGACACAAGTCAAGTTATTAGTTGTCAGTTCAGCTGCAGCTGCAGCTTATTACACCTCCCCTCTCCACACAACGTTACATGATTCATCAACTCTCTCACTACAGGCCAGTGTATAATCACAGACACAAGATTAGACACAACTGCTAAAAACTAAAAAGTGAAGCAGAGGCAAGATTAGGAGTTCCAGTGTGTCGAACATACACAGACCAAAATAAAGAAGAGAGGAAAAAAAGACTTTCACTGCTACATTTATGTGATAATGATCATATCTCAGTTTTTATATTCATCACCATATTTTAAAACTTTTTTTTTTAAATTTAACAAGTAAGCTGCACATTCTTTTTGTATATGATTTACTTCTAGAATTTTCAATACAATAAACACAAAAACAGTAATACAGTAAACAAATCCCCACATGAATGACTGAATAAGTGACATAAAGAAAAACTGTAAAGTGCAGTAAACATTGGCATAGGAAGTACAAAAGTACATCCCAAAAAGAAAAGAAAACAGACAAACTATGTGCTACCAGCATGAGGAAAACAGGACTCGGCCACGAGGTGCAGTTATATTAGTACAGTGCAGGGGGCCCATCAGTCAATGGGGACAGCGTCCACTTGGAGGGACCTGACATGATCTTAGAAGGGCAGCCAGATTATAGAGAATTTAACATCAGAGCCACAGAGACAGTTTCATTTTTTCTAATTTCAAAAAATATAGGGCATCCTTTATCCAATGAGTATGAGAGGGGGGACGAGGAAATTTCTAGTGCATCAGAATAACACGCTGCACTAGCAATGTGAGAAAAGCTACACATAGGAGCCATTTCTGTTGTAAATGTATGTGGGATTCCTGTTGGGCCAGTGGGTTTTACTATTCTGGTTCACACAATATAGGTAGGAACCTTTCATTGAGGGACAGGTGTTGACTTGAAAGGGTCCCTTTCAAGTTTGTTAAAGGATTGTTTAACCAGGAAAAGGGAGGGCGGCTTAAGGCAACAAAGTCAGAAGTAGAAAAGTATCTAAGAAACACGTATTCAGATTTTGAGCAGAATAGAGTAATAGGCCTTCCACCTGACATGCTACCAGTAGGAAAGATAGATCATGAGATGGATGTTAGACCAGCCAGGTGGAAGGAGGTTGAGGAGGTAGTCAGGCGTGCAAAGGCTTCTTCGGCCCCAGGGCCAAATGGAGTCCCCTACCGGGTTTATAAAAGCACACCTGATATCCTACAGTTTTTGTAGAGGCAATTAAGAATAGTTTGGGAGAAACAGGTTATTCCCAGAGCATGGCGTAGGGCAGGAGGTGTTTTTATTCCAAAGGAGAAGGAATCCTCAGACCTGAGTCAGTTTCGAATGATCTCTCTCCTAAATGTGGAGGGGAAGATCTTCTTTAGCATAGTCGCACGGAGATTAGCTAGTTATTTAGAAAGGAATAGCTTAATAGATACTGCAGTACAGAAGGCAGGAATACCAGGTTTCGCAGGGTGTTTAGAGCACACTAGCATGATTTGGCATCAGATTCAGGCAGCCAAGACAGAGAAAAGAGACTTGCATGTCATATTTTTGGATTCAGCAAATGCGTTTGGTTCAGTGCCACATAGCCTTATTTGGGAGGCATTTGATTATTTTAGAGTGCCTGGAGTAGTGGTTAATTTAGTAAAGTCATATTTCCAAGATATTAGACTATGCTTAAGTACAGCAGGCTTTACAACAGCGGTGGCCAGAGGGCTAGAAAATAGCGATTATAGGCAGGGTGACGATTTCTCCATTGGCAGATTACACTAAATGGCGTATGGAGAGTTAATCATTTAGAGCGTTCTAAGTGGGTTGTAGGTGGAGAGAGGTGGCAGGATGGGATGCGCCCTTACACCAAAGTTAGGGCCTACAGTGGATGACATGAAAGCTTGCATAAGGCATACGGTACGGGTGCATGTATGAAGAAGAGTACTTGAGAGATAATAAAAAAATTAAAGTTGGGCTAGAAATGAATATAAGCGCATTAGTAATGGTCATAGAAGGTAATGCTCAATGGAAGTAGAGGGAGGTTAAGTCGAGTAGGAGGTTTTGTAGTAAATAGGAGAGGAAATTCGCCCAATAATTAAGGGAGAGAAATCAGTAAAGATGGTCTAGGTCAGGCTGGTAGCAGCAGGCAGACTTGAATGAGGAGAACAGGTATTTCAGTTTCGGAGGAAGTGTTGCTGAGAGGACTGGATACGGAATAGATAAATCAGGCTGCAAGAAAGTTTGAAGTTGTGGTTGTCTGCGTTTCGCGGTTATTCCCGAGGCTGATAGTGGCCCACTGTCGTGTTAAGTATGTACATCCCATTATCTGCCTGCAGAGAAAATGGAAAGATTAGGTTAGCTTTTACTATTAGGAAGTTGGGGCTAGGTTGCTGGATGTATTAAGTTACGGTGGCACTGTAGGGAAAGGCATACTTTCACTCCCAGTAACTGGTCTGCAGTGGAGGAGTTTAAATGTACCCAAGGTTAGGACAGAGCTTCCTGTTACCTGGGAGTAAGTGTGTGGGTAGTCAGGTAAGGGTGGTTTCGCACCCAATCAAAGGGAGAAAGTGGAATCCAAGAATGGCAGTGGCAGGAGGCGGAAGCGAGACACTCAGGCATACGAGATTGTGGGTAATGTCGCAAATAGGCCGGGGAGGCTTGGGGCTTCCGAGGCAATAGCCGGTGTGGGTAGGAGCATGGTACCCGAAAGGTAAAAGAAGAAAAGCTAACGTTGGTGGGAAGCAGGTTCGTAGACAGGAGGAAATATTAAGGGGTGCAAAGGCAGTGGCCCAGGCTAAGCAGGGACAGTGGGTGAATTGGGAAGGTGTAGACAAGAAAAAGCTTAGCTGGAAAGAGCTGTGGAGTATGGAGGAAAGTAGTATTAGATTCTTGATAGGGGCAACTTATGATGTATTGGCAACTCCCCAGAACCTAAAACTCTGGGTAAATGGAGACCCGTTATGTTCATTGTGTTCAGGTACTGCAACTTTAAAGCACATTTTGTCAGGCTGTAAGGTTAGTCTGTCGCAAGGCCGGTACACGTGGCGACATAACCAGGTTTTAAAAAGCTTAGCTGCAGGAGGGGGGGGGAGTAGGGGGAGGTAGAGCACAGCCTAATCCGGCGGGGGAGAGTTTAGCTCAAAAAGGCATCTCTCCTTGACTCTACCTCCCTCATTCAAAATGGCCGCCACTTTCTCCAACTGGTTAGGGGAATTTGTTTGCTGAATCTGCTAGTGTGTTTTGTCCGAGTTGATGATGTTGTTTGTGGTAGCATAGGCAAGATAAAGGAGAAAATAGTGGTGGTGTGAGGAGCAGTGATGGCTGGCATTAGGGGAGTGACTCTGGGACGCCAGTGATCACTGTCTAGCCTCCTGGAGGTGTCGTGGGACCAACTAGACGAAACACTGGTGAAAGGAGGTTCCCACCTGATGACCCCAAAGACATGTTAGTTATCACTGCTCATTAGTCTGTATAGCCAAATTAATGCTTATCATAGGATTTAGGATGTTAATCTAAGGGAGCTATTCACTGAGTCTGGTCCATTTTCTGTAGCACAAGTTTCTTGTGTTTACCTTAAATTAAATAAGAGAGATAGCAGCCTGACGTAATGTAGGGGGCAGTATGCCAGTTTGTGATGATTCATTAAACATATTTACCAACAGTGGGGTCAATGTGTCAGCAAATGTCTTTTAAAATTCGGCAAGGAAACCATCAGGGCCTGGACATTTTCCATTCTGCATCAACATTAGAGCACATTTAATATCAGCAACTGTGAAGGGTTCCTCCAACCGAGAAGATGTTTCAGGATCAATAGAAGGGATGTTTACAGACCTAAAAACGATTTAATATTGTGTCTCATCAGATGAACTCTCAGAACTATCTCTGGTAACTTTCTCTGGTAAGCAGAATAAGAAATGATTTCTCCTCACAGCTTTACACATGTTGATGCAACATGTGGGTTAACATTAGTGGAGATGAAAAGATCAATGTAACTGTTAATATTTTTAATAAAATCAGGGTCTCTGAGTAGTAGCGACTTAAAGCACCAGAGGGATCATGACAGCGACCTACCAGGAAGAGAGAAATCAACTAAGACAGTTGCCTGATCTGATATTACTGTAGGACTGGTAGGAGCATGAGCTGACAGAGGAGAATAATTTATTATCAATCAGAAAGAAGTCAGTAGAGGAGAAAGTGCCATGGACAGGGGAAAATAAAAGAGAACTCTTTGGCATTGTGGTTGAAAAAATGCCACATAACCGTAACTGCATATTGCTCGATAAACAGTTGAATGGGCACAGGGCTTGTTAGATGAACGGTCAACTGAAGGATCAAGACGACAGTTAAAATCACCTCCAATAATGAGCTGGCTAGAATTTAAATCAGGAAGAGAGAAAAGAAAGTGTTTAAAAAAGTCTTCACTGTCCCAAGTTGGACCACACACATTTGCCAATGTCAGGTTGTTGCCACAGATTTTGCCTGTAATGACAATAAAGTGCCCATTGGGGTCTGATATGACACAGAGAATGGTACTGATTTGTGAAAAAGAATTGCAACCCCCTGGGCCTTACTAAAGTGGTAGAGCTGGCCCACTAACCCTCTGCAGAGTTTTAGGTTGTCTGATGGCTGGAGGTGGGTTTCCTGTAGAAAGGCAATTTTAGTGTTTAAATGTTTTAAATGGTTAATAATAATGGCAAATAATCTCCCCTCAAAATGATGGTAAAGACTGTATCAAGGCGGTTCAGCAAGGATCTCTGTGCCGAGGACATCTACAAGAAGGTGAGAGAAAAACGTGGATGGACGGGGACCTTCAATAGCCTCATGTAAGCCAACGATCCGGATGTTTTGACATCCTCTTAACCGGAAGTCCCCGAACTGCACATACAGTAATATGTTAGAGAAGTAATTTCTGGTTTAAAATGTGTGTTTTACTTTATGCAACAGTTCTAGACAATTTTGTCTTTACATTATTTCTGTGTGGCTTCCAACATAATTTATGGTCAATAATGACACCCAGAAATGTATTTTCATGCACTCTTTCTATTTCAAAGTTGTTGATCCTGATCATTTTCAATTCCTTCTCCACTGAAGTCAGAAGCTGTTCCAAACTCTTCCTGGTGTAAAACACATTTGTGTCATCAGCAATTAAAACAAATTTAAATAATTTGGACACTTTACAGATATCATTTATGTACAATATAAACAACGTAGGTCCCAACACTGAACCTGTTGGGATCTCAGAAGTAAGTTAGAGTCTATATTATTTACATCAACATATTATTAATATCTATCACCTAGGTAGTTTCTTATCCATGAATGGGCTCTTCCTCTGATTCCCTGATCACACCCGTTTCTTCATGAATAAGCCATCACTAATAGTGTCAAATGCTTTTTTTTTAACTCAATGAACACATCAATAATGTATTTTTTGTTTTCTGTTGCAGTAGATATCCCTTCTCTCATCACTGCCATTGGAGTAGACCTATTTTCTCTAAAGCCATAATGATGGTCACTCAATATTTTTGAGAAATGGGGAAGGCCTATAATTTGTTTATTTCTGTTTTTATATTTAGAAATAACTCGCTTTTTTCATTTCATTAAGGAATATTCCTGTTTAAAGGGATTGCTTACAGATAAGTATCAGAGGTTTCATTATAGTCTAAAATATATTAACTAACGGCATATCAATGTCAGTCCAGTCTGTGGATTTTTTATCCTTATCAGGTGTTTACTTTTCATCAACACAGTGTATGATAATGTCACAGTTCTGCATCTAAGTTCGCCTGACTCACTTCAGCATTCCCTGTCACCCAGCTCCCAGTTAGTTATTTCCCATTCACCCAGTTCTCCTTCAGCTCCCTGCATTAGCCACTGCCACCTCATCAATCCAACTCCATTCACCTGGTCACACAGCTACTCCTGATGACACCCACCCAGTAAACAAACCCCAGCCTTCCACTCATTTTACACAGATTGTTCTTCGCTTTTCTCCATGTGAGACTCTCCAGCATTTCTTGGACTTATTCTCCGTTGCTAAACCTGTGTGTTCCTGACTTGCATTTCTCGTCTGAACCCTGGTAAACACTCAGGCTTCTCTTCCTGAACTGCTTTTGTAACTTTGGCATTTCTCTGTGTGATCCTGTGCTGGCTTATTCAGCCCGAGCCTCCAACGAGATTTCTGAAGTTTGTTTTTTTTTTTGGATTCACCTGCCAGCTCCAGTTTCTGCCTAGGTAAAAACTAATTTTGCTGAACTGTGTGCTGCATTTGGGTCCTACACATGCCTCTTACAAATAATTTCATCTCCTGTAACCACCTTATTGATCAGCTCCACGATCTCACAAAATAGTAAAGTGAGTTTGATCGAACAGAGATGAAGCAAATCAAAGCTGCAGCTCCACTTCTACCTGAGCAGGTGAGTCCAACAGCTTTCCCAGGTGAGCAGGTGGTTCTAGCTGAGTCTGAGCTGCTACAGTCCAGGAGAGCAGACTCATTGCCTCCACACTGGAACTCTTTGGTCCACATTGGAGCCTCCACTTCTCCATAGAGCGCCCCCTGGAGGACTGAAGGAGCCCCACAGCCAAGCTCCCTACAGACCACCTCTGCATCCTGCTGGTCAAAGTCAGCTTCACACACTGAGGACCACCACTGGTTAGACTTCACCTCCAGTCTGCCTGAACACAGACTGGTTCCATTCACCAGCCTGACAGAGTCTGCAGAGAGAGAGAGAGCTCATTCAAACTCTGATGGGTTGTAATTTCATTGTTAAAATTTGTGTTTTGTATGTTAGGCTCATAGCCTGAGAATGAGCCAAATATGTTAAGGAGACCTAAAAGAGCGTTTAGTGACACACCCTGATCAGCCACATACAACAAAACATCATCAGCGTATAACGCTACTTTATATTCTTTTTTACAATTCCCTGAATAATACTGTTTTCTCTTATTTTATATGTTCTATGTAAAGTGCAAACAGGGTTGGAGAGAGAGGACATCCTTGATGAGTGGACCTTTCGGGGTTAATGTGATCAGTTAGACATCCGTTTATCTTAATTCTTGCTGTTGGGGTTATATATAATGTTTAGATACTATTAATTGTGTTGTTATTAAAGCCAAAAAGTTGTAGTACTTAAAATAGATATTGCCAGCTGGTGTTTAACATCTTTGATAACCATAATATCCTGAGATTGATCCTGACACCAGTGCGTCAGTATGCCAGCGACCCCTTTTTTCACTATCCGTTTCCTGTTTTATTTATGTGTACTTACCTCTTGTGTCATTGCAGCTCCTGTCCTCATGTGTTTCCCAGCCCCTTGAACCTCCTCCCCTTTGCTCCGCCCACCTACCTGTGCCTACTGTTTCCCACCAGTTGGACATGTTCATACGCTGTTCTGTGTTCTTTGTTCTCTGCCAGATTGTGTTTTAGCATTTTCCCACTACATGGTACTAACTCAACTCAACTTGACTCTAGACTTTCATTACCAAGTTCTTCTTTTTCTACTGCAGATAGCAAACCCTCAATGCAGTGTTGTTACTATAGCAACAATACTAGTGTTATTTCATTCTATTCAGTTTCTTTGCATATAAACTAATTTGAATACACAAGTCGCAGCTTCAGTCTCTTCTATAGTTGCCATACTAAAAGTATAGAACGATAACTAATACGAATATAACGGGCCACAGTGAGAGTGTACAGTTGCTTGCCTGTTTAAAAATGGCTGGCTTGTTCAGAATGTCCCATCTTGCACGATGCATGATGCAGTGGGATTTTTCTCTGACTAATCAGAAGTCAGCAGTGTTTTCACATCACCTTTGGTATCAGCTCAGCTTGCCTGGAAGGAGGTCAGAACAAGTGCCAGGTACTATCCAAAAGTTTTGGCCAATGGAAAACCAAAAAAGGTGAACAGAGTGGAGAGGTGCAAGTACGATGCAGTGAAAAAGGCTGTTTGTGTTTCCTGTATGCATTGCTCTCCAGCCATTTACTCATGTCTGCCCTTTGGTTTGTTACTTGGTTTTCAGACTTCTGCTGCTCCCTGCCTGTTACTGTTTGCATTTATTGGACTGCTTACCTGACCCTGGATTATCTGGCTAAACACCTTATGATGTGAATTTTACTTTGCCCTCTGTGAGTTTCTCTGCCAGAGTTGCTACACCACCATGCATGGCTGTATGCTTGCCTACCTAAGCTTTTAGCGCTGTTACAGAGGTTGATGTTGAGGTTTTTGGCGATGTCCAAGAAAGAAAGGAATTGCTCAATATAGTACATGTGAGATTCTTTGGGGTCAGAGGCAATGGACTGCAGCTGTGTCATGTCAGCATTTTTCACACCTGAAAGAAAAATAATGTGTTAACACAATGTCTCAAACATGAAACTCAAGACGAAAAAAATTGTTTGGTTGGCAAAGTAATAAAATTGTGTTTCCCTGATGCCTAAACTAAACCGTAACAAACTACACTGATGTACATTTTAATCCCAGCAATTAGAAATCATGTGCTTTACATTACTGATGCTAAAGCATATCCCATGACTTAGCTTGACTTTCTTCCTTCAGGGCAGTAGCCCGATTTTAATTCAATAAGTAAGACCTGAGTCATACCTGATTTGCATGATTTGTAGGCTGGGGCATCTCTGTAACATCACAACACGTATGATGCTAACAATGCACAACAATGTTGTGAGACATTTTGCCTCCATGAAAACAACTGCAGTGTCTGTGATTTGGATATTTCACTTGACATATTGCAATTTTGATTATATTTTGATTAATTGTGCAGCTCTACTAGCAGGGGTGTTGGTGTTTGCCAGAAAGATGTGTAGGCATCCATTAATTGTCTCTGGTCCCTAACTGGTGTTGGGTAATGATGATATGCACAGTAGGCTTAATGTACTGAACCACTGGCTAGCTTGTCACTGTAGTGAGCTGGGATTTGATTTTGTTAATAACATTGAGACTGCCTTCCTCCCCTGCCATATTACTCATAATGTCCATAAATATGTGAATCACAAAAATGTAATTATCATTCCCACCACTAGTGGTAGTGAAGTGTACTACAAAACACCTGAGGTGATCACAATTGATCACAGCTCACTAAGGTAATTACAATTCTATCTCCACACTGCTGCAACTAAAAACACAAGATGTCTTGTTGCAATAAATACATCGTCTTCTGGTAACAGATTGGCCAATTAAACAGCAAAACTCCAGCCTCAACAAAACTCTCAAATAAATGCTGAACGCATCAGGGCCTGTATTCACAAAGCATCTTAAGGCTAAAAGTAGCTCCTAACTTGCTGATTTAGGAGAAACTCCTAAAAATAATGGGCGTGTCAGTCCTAATTTTCCTGACTAAGAGTAAATCAAAAAGTCACTTAGCACTAAAAGTAGCACCTAAGTCTGGGAGAAGTTAGATGCAGTGGAGAGGATTTCTAACTCAACAAATGATGATGAAATACTTAAAAGATACGACTCAATCACAAGGGAATATTGATCGCTGTGGAGTTTGTGAGGGATGCAATAATATCTTCTACCAACTGAAACAACCCAATCAGTGCAGAAATTAAGTGTTTGGCAACGCTGCGTTACTAGGCAACAGGGAAAAGCCGATCTATTAACCAAACAATAAATGCGCTCTGACCCGACATCATAGGAGAATTCATACGATTTCTTTTAGATGTTCAACAACTACAGAGACATGAAGCAGCTTCATGGTCGGTCTACCTGCTGTGATCGGCGCCAGAGATGGAACGCAAGTAAAAGTTATTGCACCATCACAAGAGGAGGAGGTAATTGTAAACAGGAAAACAAAATCACACCATCAACACACAGGTTGTACTGATGCTGCCTGTACAGTTGTAAACATTGTTGTTCAGTGTTCAGGATCTTCACACGAGTCATGGATCTTAATGGAGAGTGACCTGATCAGCTGTTTGAAAGGCTCATATTCCAGCTGGATGTCACCTGGTGGGACAGAGGAAATGTTCACACCTCAACCCACAGCTGGGACCACAGCTACATTACAACAGGTACAGCTACAACCGACTGTGGCTAACAGGTTGTCAGTTAGCTTTAGTTAGGTTGTCTAGGACAGGTTTGTTTTTTTTTTCCATTGAGAGAATTGAATGTAATTTTTCATCGTAAAATGAAATTCTCCCGAGTCGACACAAACCTGTATTTGTTTATTTCTCAGTTTTTTTTATTATTACTGCGGGATGTTGCGCATGCGTTTTCACCGGGGTGAAAACGGTCTTTCATCAACCAATCACTGTGGTTCCTGCAAGCAAGCTCATCGTTGAAAACTGATGTCAGCCATAGCAACAGAGTTGGACTCTTAGCTTAGGAGTTCTCAATTTTCCTTGGTAAAAGTTGGTCTCAGCAAACTTTTAGTTAAAAACTTTTAGCGTGACTTAGGAGTACTCTTAGTGGTAAGATAAAATGCTTTGTGAATACGGGCCCTGATCATTATCTACTGAAGCCTTGCTGATAAATAATTAGATTCTTCAGCTTAATCTGGATATGGTTCGTTTTTGTGAAACATGAAACGCTGGATAGTGACTTCTGGTTCAACTGTCACTGTATCTCCTACCACATATGTTATGTCAGATCACTACATTATAAAATTTGAGGTGATACTACCTCTACATAACATTTGTTCAAATGTATTTTCCACTTAACACATTGGTTTGTCAACTTTATCTGCTCTTGGTAAGTGATTACCAGTGCTCCTGGCTCCTTTCACAGTAGCAACAACCCTGTTGAAAATTGTACCAGTGAATTAAAAGCGGCTCTGTCTAATCTCCTCACTTCAGTTGCACTTCTAGTTTTGGTAGTAAGGGGTTACTAAGAGTAAGAGGTTTCTACCAAAACCTGATCATCAGAGGTCTTCACCCTGGTTTACAAAAGAAACATGCTCTTAAGCAGGTCTGCCGACGCCAATGTTGAAAATCTGAACACAAAGTCTTCTACCTATAATGCCACAAGAATCTCTTTTTGACACTGTAGCCAAACTTATTCGGAAGTCATTCCTACATTATTACTCTATTATTACATGAGCACTCAATGGTCATTACTCCATTGTTACTACATAATTACATGAGCACTCAGGAGTTATTACTACATTAATACTCCATCATTACAAAAGCACTCTGTAGTCATTACTACATTATTACATGAACATTCAATCATCATTATTTCATTATTATTCCATTATTACAAGAGAACTCAGTAGTCATGACTACATTAATCCATTATTACATGAGCACCAAGTACTCATTACTAAATTATTACGAGCACTCAATAGTCATGACTACATTATCACTTCATTATTACATGGCATTCTGTAGTCATCACTACGTTATTACATGAGCACTCAGTAGTCATTACTACATTATTACATATTATATGAGCACACAGTCAAAGGTTGATTTTATTCAACAGGGCCTATTTAAATGTCTTTACTACATTACTACATCGCTACAATGAGTACTCAGTAGTCACAGCCATCTTTCGCAGCGACAACTATTGTCCACAGACAGACAGACAGACAGACAGACAGACAGACAGACAGACAGACAGACAGACAGACAGACAGACAGACAGACAGACAGACAGACAGACAGAGAAAGAGACAGAAACAAACAGACAGACAAACAGACAGACTGAGACACACAGAGACACACAGACAGAGATAGGCAGAAAGACACAAACAGAGACATACAGACAGAGACAGACAGACAGCGATAAACAGAGACAAAGAGACAGAAAGAAATAGAGACAGACCAATAGATACAGAGACAAACACAGACAGACAGAAACAGACAGACAGACAGAGACAGAGCGACTGACAGACAAACAGACGGACAGAGAGACAGAGACAAACAAAGACAGACACAGACAGAGACAGACACAGACAAACAGACATTGCCTGTTGACCAATGAAATGTTACCATGATTAAAATCACAGATTTCTCTGGTTTGAGAATTGAAGGAAACATTTGTGATAATGTAAGAACACAACTCAACAACATATAGAACATAGGTCTAGTTGCTTTTAGACATTTTAATATGGAAAAGTTACAAATTATAACTTTAATATTTTAACTTTATCCAGACTTAAAACTCATCTTTATGCCTTAACTTTCAATTAGCACCTTATTCTTTGTTTAATCCTGGATTGTATTTTTCCTTATTGTTTCCAGTCTATACTGTTGTCATTCTGATTGTCCATACTGTAAACTGTGTTTTGTTAAAGCCACTTGTGATTTGTGACATTGGTCTATATAAATAAAATTTTACATTTTCATTGTGACAAACAGGAAGTCACTTAATTCTTTTGTGGTAAAGTGTTGTAGTTTCACAGCTCTTCCTCACTTGAACTTTTCTGAGACTCTGCTGCTTTCTTACTATTCAAACTGACAGTCACTCACCGATAGTGTAGATCTCAATGCCCCTGTCTTTCAGGTTCTGTGAGGGGAGGTTTACGTCATCCTGAGACTCCCCGTCGGTGATGAGAACAGCAATTTTACGGGAGTCCACACGCATTCCCACATGGGGTTTAAAGCTCATCTGGTTGATGTGGTCCAGAGCCCTTCCTGTATGACAGTAATAAAGAGACATCAAAGACTTTATCAAAAGACACTTGTGTTGTAAAGTGGGAATAAGAGGGTAACAACTTTGGGCTCTTCTCAAGGAAAATAGATAAAATGTGGAAACAATACTGATACCAAAGTTAAATGATCTAAAATATCGTGTTATTAAAGTTCTCAAATATTTATAAAACATGGCACAGTAAAAAAAAAATTAAAAAAAAATTATGGAGTTCTATTGTTGTTTACACATTATTTATTTTAAGTTTTAATATGTCGTTGTGGAAAAACCATCATGTTAACACTAGGAGGACGGGTGCACCTTCATATAAATGATGTCTTTAAATCATGTTTCTAAAATGGTGCTGAAATTGTGGGGACCAGTGATATATTTCTGGGATCTGATGCAGGATCCATCTGACGAGTGAAAACACCACAGACGTAGACTGACTCCTTGTCATCACCTTGTTGTTATTCAAGTACATCTTGGCTCAGCCTGTTGGTCCCTGTATGTTCCTGTAATGACTTCATATGTGCTGATCAGTGTAATTTATTTCTGTCTCCTTAAATACAAATGAGTTTCTCCTTATTGGCTGTAGTTTTTGCTTGTATCTGTACATGTATGTTATGGGCTCCGGGTACTGCTCTTGTTGTTGTGTGTTATGTTGTATGGTGCTATCTTCCCCTTTTGAATTAATGCTGGGGCGACCGATCTTCCTCTGCTCCAGAAGGGGATTTCCTCACCATCCACGTCTCCGCATCACTCCTGTCTGCCTTTGCCTGGGTCGACCTTGTTATCAGCTGGTCCCTCCCATCCTGCGGCGTTGGTCCAAGATGCCTTTCACAAGCCTGCCTGGTCCCATCCTTGGCCGTATAAAGGCTGCCTCGTGGAAATGGCTGGGGTCGGCTGTCTGTGATTTAATCTGAGCAGTCTGCCTCTGTGCCTTGCTGTTGTAACTGTCTAACTGTCAACGTGTGTGCTGTAGCTCTTCTGGAGTGGCTTTGTGATTGTGAATGTTGACTTGTGGGGGCACTAGTTTCGCATTTTGGGGATCTTGGGTTATAGGCTGTATTTTTAGTTCAGGTTATCGTGTGTATCGTGTTTATTTGTTTAGTCTAGCAACACTAAGTTATGGGTGGCTGCTAGACTGTATTTTTTGTTTGACAGGTAAGACAGGAGATAGGGTTTTATTTTCATTGACCTCTGGTATAGTAAGTAGGGATTGGTCAGGTTAGGAAGCAGGGTTTGTTTTGTTTGTTTTATGTTTTGGCGCCACCCACCGCCCTTTCACTTTGTTCTTCGACAAGCAATTCATTTGTGTTGTGGTTGGTTGTACCATTTTTGTTGGTGCTAGGCAGTACTCGCCTGATACCATCATCAAAATGTTGCTTCTCTTGCTCCTAAACATCTACGGGTTGTAACAATGTATGTATCCAGTGAGTATTTGATTGGTGCCCTGTATGAACAAAATATTGACACTGTCATTTAAAAGCTGTGATCTAAAGTGTTATTCAACATTGTTATTATAATGCTACACTGATTGTAATTACTATAACAATATCAACACTGTCATTTATCACCTGCTGTTGCTGCTCTCAGTGTTTTATGATGACAAACAGATTGAGGTCAAAACTTTTTGACAACTTGATCTGAAGTTTCTTTTCTGAAGATGCTTTGTCAATATTTTTAAATCCACAGTTGTCTTGAGTCTGTGAGGGAGTGGATTCCAGTCACATGTTGTTCAATATATACTATATTATAAATACCTGAGGTTATTTGTTTCTACAAAACACTGATCACTAACAGCTTCAGTTCCTCCACTGATGGACCTAAAGACACAAAGTTCATATATTTGGCTACTATTCTGGGGCCAGATCCAACTGGAGCCTCTGGTTCCACAGTGTGGTGTGGACTGGACAACATGATGGTAAATCACCTATCATGGTGCCTCCTCCAGTGTGTTTCAGGTTGGCTATGGCGCTCAGCAGGGATTCTTTGTTTTGATAGGTGTTCAGGTTCCACATGGTCTCTGGACTGTCACTGTACAGAGTCACACCTACAGAAAACACACAGGTTAGGCAGAGCATGTGTATTGTCTGGCACCCTTCAACAACAAGACAATACAAAGAAAATCAAGGCATTTAGAAACACAATATAAGAACACACACATACTGCATCTACTGCATATTTAATTAGAGATAAAAGTAAGTCCAAATCTCAGCTACTGTGTCCAAACTGAATTTAATCAAAGGCAGCAACAAGAAATGTTCTGAGTAACTGATTTAAAAGAACTGAGGGTTGGAGCAGAGCTGCAGATTTCCAGGAGTTCAGATATGTGGAGCACAAAAACTGAATGCTGTTTGGACAGGAAGCAGACCTGTAGTCACAGCCCCACGACATTACATTTGTCCCTTGTGTTTCTGTGTGTTTCCCTGTTCTCCCCTGTGTCTCCTCCTCCCCCAAGTGTCTGTGTTGTGGGCGTGGCTTCACTCCACACCTGCGGTCAATCATCTCATTAAGCTCCCAGTTGAAGAACTCCAGCTTCTCCTCCTCTGGTCATCAGATTGTTCACTCTACTATGATCTCGGCCAAATTCATTTCTCACTAAATTCAAGCGCAAGTAGTTGTTTTCCTCGTCCTAGTTTGCTGACCAGTGTTTTCCTGTGCTTAGAATACCAGTGCCTAATACCAAAGACAACAATGTGTGTGTCTCTCTCTCTCTCTCTCTCAGCCTGTGTGTGAGGGGCGGGGGCAGCTCTGGAGCATTGTGCAACACACTGTAGCGGACAAACCTGGCCTGGCATCAGTGACAAGCCTTCTCTCACAAACAGTCCATGCTGTTAGCATGTCAGAGAGACATTCAACCAGACCAAGGGTCAAAGGGTCAGCTCCAGAGGATCAACCAATGGACACGAGGCAACTGGAGAACATAGACAAAATCTCCAGTTTGTAACAATAAGACTCTCTCTAATGATATTTTATTCTTCCTTATGTTGGGACTCATCATTCAAGAGACCAGATTTATTTTTGCTCCACTGGACAAAGGAACTCACACCCCACAGTTGCTCACTGTTCACACCTGGGGACGACCCCCCGACCCCCCCTACGGACCTCACTGGCCAGACAGTGTGGGTCAGCATATGACATTTGACCCCCAAGGGTGTCACCAAACAGAACCAGATCTCTTGTCCCTCTTCTCTCTCTCTTCTCTTCTTGGCTTGCTCTGGAGAGCAGCTCCTGCTCTCTCCTCTCGGCTCTTCAAAGGGCAACAAGGCCCCAGCCCAGGTCAGCCCTGCTACCTGAGAAACCAGCTCTCTCGCCGGCCTGCTCACAGCAGCCTGCAAACACTCTTCTCCTCAACAGCAGCAACCTGCTTCGGATTAACTGAGAGTGAACCAAATTCTCTTCAGAATCAGCAGCTACAACACAAGGCCAGCTGATTTTCCAAGCAACAGGAGTCGTAGCAGAGTTAGCGGGGAACAGCTAACTCTGTGAGGAGAACAAAGGAGATAACAGCAAAGCAACACAGACAGACAGGACTTTACTCCACTAGGAAATCTCCTAACTCACTGGACTTTACACCAACACTGGAAAGGACCTCTTTGTTTGTTCCAAGGACTGGGTAACGTTAACTGACTGGGCCTAACCTTTCCCAGCAAAGCATAGCACAGCAAAGCATAGCTAAGCAGCAGAAGTCTTAACTTTGTTAATGTACTTGTTGATTGATGTCTTGTTGTTGTAATGTTGGCTTAGGTTGTGGTCAGTAATACAGTTAATCAGGTACTCGTATGTTCACACACATAGTAGTATGTCTCAGTTCTAGAACCTGCATGAAGCTAACCTCCTCCCTCTAATTTGGTTATAGTTAGTAAACTCTAATTGTTAATCAGAGTTCCAGATTAATGGTAATAAATTGAAACTGAAACCATATTGGCTATTTTGCCTATTAGTTTAGGATGGTGCCCCGAGGACTTTAATTAATTTTAAAGTTATTATTCAATATTAATATTTTTAATATCAATATTTTTCTTAATTTATGATAGCCAATAAATTGCTAGACAACCGAAATCCAACATATTTGGTGTCCAGCTCATGAGGTAGAGCTCAGACCCAACACTTATATTGGAAAAGTAACACCAAAAGGACTGATTATCACTAAGGTGTGAATCCTGGCCTCTCTGTGCCATGCATGAACACACACACCAACCAACCTCCCTCTGTTCCTCTCTAGATAGAGTCATAAACTACAACCCACATTCCAATCCTGGGTAGTGACCAGCAGAATAAACTCCTCACAGAGGAAGAATATAATTAAATATCTAACTGTTTTGTAGCACATGAGATGTTTCTATGCAATAGTTTAATCCCAAACTTCTATCCTATAGAATGTTTGAAATGTAACATGTAGACTTTAAGACAATGTCCTTCATGTGACCATACTGTCAGCATCCTTCACACAAGGTAACACACACTACATGATATCCAGGATGTCCATATTATTATTATTACAGTCAAAGAACTGCTGTGTAATCCACCATCTATTATTTGATAATATGTCCTTTTGTCTACAGTTCTCTCTGCTTCTTTCTCAATGATCAGACTTTTGCTCTCATTGTCTAGTTGGTCCCACGACACCTCCAGGAGGCTAGACAGTGATCACTGGCGTCCCAGAGTCACCCCCCTAATGCCAGCCATCACTGCTCCTCACACCACAACTATTTTCTCCTTTATCTTGCTTATGCTACCACAAACAACATCATCAACTAGGACAAAACACACCAGCAGATTCAGCAAACAAACTCCCCTAACCAGTTGGAGAAAATGGCGGCCATTTTGAATGAGGGAGGTAGAGTCAGGGAGAGGTGCCTGTTTGGGCTAGCTCTCCCCCGCCGGGTTAGGCTGTGCTCTACCTCCCCCTACTCCCCCACTCTCCAACAACTCACCTAAAACAAACAAACTCGCCTAGACAGTCAGAGACACACTACAAACCAATTCAGAGCAATACAAACAAACCAACTCACCTGAACTAACCGCATGGTCTCAAAGAGGCTCACACAGGCCACACCCTCCACTTAAAAACACTTCCTCTTCCTGGATTTTCTTCCTTGCTTCTCCTAAGAGCCTGTCTATCCTAAGTGCTCCCCCTGCTGGGCCCCCAGCTACCATTACTTCTTCTAATCCAAATCCACTGACTGGATCTTGCTGCCTCATCTGACATGTCTTTTACTATTTTCCTTACACTCTGTCCACTTCCTCCTAACTCCCTCACCAAAGAAACAACAGACCTTGCTACAAATCCTCTACATCCTACTCTACATCCTATGGTTGTAGTACGTACAGTAATAAACCATTTCTGTAGCTGCAGCACAAAGGCCAGTGAGTGTTACTATATAAAGTAAGAAAACAGGACCTGTACTTGTACTTTGACATTGTGGTGTAAAGAGTTGAGTATAAAGAAGCAGTAGCAGTAATAGTACTGAGACA